TGCCCTGGGTTGTGTAACTGATGGGTTTCTAGATGGGTGGTGATCTTGCTTCTTAGGACCCTTTCAAAGATTTTTATGATATGGGATGTTAGTGCTATTGGTCTGTAGTTCTTTGCTGTTGGTTTACTGCCCCCCTTTGTGGAGTGGGGCTATGTCTGTTGTTTTTAGTAACTGTGGATGACCCCGTGTCCATGCTCCCTCTCCATAGGATGGAAAAGGCTCGTGATAGGGGCTTCTTGCAGTTCTTGATGAACACGGAGTTCCATGAATCTGTCCCTGGGGCAGAGTGCATGGGTATGTCATTTATCGCCTGTTCGAAGTCATTTTGGCGTCAGGATAACATCGGATAGGCTTGTGTTAATCAAATTTTTGTGGCTCTCTCATAAAAAATTCATTTTGATCTTCGACTCTCAGTCTGGTTAGCGCTTGCTAAAAACTGAGTCATATTAGGACTTGAGTAGCTCACTCATTTCCTTGCTGTCATCTGTGAAGGACCCCATCTTGTTTAAGTAGGGGCCCAATACTGGACGTTGTTTTCGATTTTGATTTGCATAGGAGAAGAAATACTTTGGGTTTCTTTCGATTTCATTTATGGCTTTTAGTTCTTCCCGCGATTCCTGACTCCTAAAGGATTCTTTTAGCTTAAGTTCGATGCTTGCTATTTCTCTGACCAGTGTCCCTACGCATTTCAGATATATTGACCTCTTTTAGCCGCTCTGTTATTCTTTTTCCATCGCTGTAAAGGGAGCGCCTGTCTCTTTCTATTTTACATCTACTCCTCCTTTTTCTTAGAGGAATAAGCCTTGTGCATACATCGAGTGCCACTGAGTTAATCTGTTCTAGGCATAAGTAGGGGTCTGTGTTGCTTAGTATATCTTCCCAGCTTATATCGTTAGGACTTGGTTTACTTGTCCCACTTTATGTTTTTGTTTCTTGAAGTTGAATTTGGTGAATGCTCCCTCGTGACTAGTCCTCATTATGTCGGTCTGGAGCTCCACGCATACATGTCTGAACCTCAATTATGTTGTGATCTGAGTATATTGTTTTTGATATGGTGACATTTCTTATCAGATCATCATTGTTAGTGAAGATGAGGTCTAGTATATTCTCCAGTCTAGTAGGCTCTATTATTTGCTGGTTTAAATTGAATTTTGTGCAGATATTAAAAGCTCGCGTGAGTGTGAGTTTTCATCAGAGCTGCCTCCTGGTGTTATTACTGCAACAATATTATTTGCTATATTCCTCCATTTTAGTGCCTTAAGTTGAAACCCCCCAGGAGCAAGATGTTGGGTGCAGGAGCTGGAAGATTTTCCAGACAGTGGTCAATTTTTAACAGCTGTTCCTGGAATTGCTGGATGTTGCATCCGGAGGCTTGTAGACTACCACAATGACTAGGTTTTAGTTCTCGACCTTTACTGCTAAAACTTCCACTACATCATTTTAGGCATTAAGCATTCTGTGCAAACAAGTGACTCTGCAATGTACAGGCCAACCCCCCCTTTTTGCCTGTTCACTCTGTCACATCTGTATAGGTTGTAACCTGGATCCATATTTCATTGTCCAAGTGATCCTTTATGTGGGTCTCAGTGAAAGCCGCGAACATTGCCTTTGCCTCTGCAAGCAGTCCACGGATGAAAGGTATTTTGTTGTTTGTTGCTGGCTTTAGACCCTGTATAAATTTCAAAGAAGAATGTTATCGGACTGGTGGTATTGTTGGTACGGGGGGGGATTTTTTTTCCGGCATTAGTATCTGTATCTGTTGGTTTGGAGTGGAGGCCATCGACTGTGGTTCCACTCCAGGAATGACTGGATTTGGTGTATGATTTCTGCCATTTCCTGCCAGTTTTTTTTCTTCCTGGCACTAAAAAACCTCTCCCTCTTAAGTGGCTGTGGCTACCCAGGTTTTCCCATGGCCTGGATGTTTTGTATCTTTTTGTCCCCTTTAGATGGTATGCCTGGCAATTTTAGTTATAGCACAGTCTTTCCTGTACTGAAGAGGTAAACAGTTCAGGGTGAAAAAGCTTACAGGAAGGGAGTTTGCATTTTCCTGTTGTCATATGGGCATGGCATTTTCTAGGGTGGTCATAGTTGCACGTCCCATCTGTTTTTCCAGATTTCCCATGCCAGTAGATACCAAGTGCATAGTATGTGCACAGGCTTGGTTTCCGTTTGCCTTGGGTTTCTGTGGCTGTATTCCCTGTTGGTGCATGTTTCCCTGTCTTACTTCTATCCTCCCTAGCACCAACAATGGAGCTCCCACCAGTTGTTTTGGTAAATATATCCTCACTATTGCTAGTGGAGCCCTCTTGTTTGCTATTTCCTGCGGTATTTCTAGTTTGCAATATTGGTTTTTATCTTATCTTTGACTACACTTGTTTCCCTACTATGGCTCCTGTCCCCTATGAGGTCATTTTTATGTATTCCTTCCTGCGTATAATTCCCGACTACCTGGACCAAATCTCCAGCTTCACCATTACTGTCTCCCAGGACAGCATCTCCAGCTTCACCATTACTGTCTCCCAGGACAGCACCTCCAGCTTCACCATTACTGTCTCCCAGGACAGCACCTCCAGCTTCACCATTACTGTCTCCCAGGACAGCACCTCCAGCTTCACCATTACTGTCTCCCAGGATAGCACCTCCAGCTTCACCATTACTGTCCCCAGACAGCACTATCAGCCCCACATTTACTGACTACCAGGACTTCATCTCCAGCCTTACAGTTTCTGACTACATGGGCAGTATCAAGGGCAGTACCATTCAGCCCAGACTTTTTATGTTCCCATCTGTTGTAGAAAGCTTCCAGTTTCTATGAAAGCAGCTTTGATGTTGTCCTCTTTTAATACCCTTGTGATTTAGTCCACAGATTTATCTCATTTGGGCATACCCAAAAACACTTCCCTGTTTTAATACTGCTTGTAGCTAGTTCTTGGATATCTGCACAAGGGGCGTGACACCAATTTCCACAAAAATGACAATTTATCCATGGGAAGCCCATTTGTTTGACTGACCACAGACTACACACAGCTTCATAATGATTTGAATGGTTGATTTACTGTAATTCTACTAGCAACCTCTTTAATATTCTATTAATAACCTCCTTAAATGAAGCTCTAGCTATTTGTATTTCTGTTTCTAACTGTTTTTGTATATTGGACAGCTTACCGTGCACGTTCCTGATATATATTTAATGTTTGTGTTTATAAGGCGCCTACAACCCCATCCATTTACAGTCTGCTTTATTGTCCAACGAAACCTTTTGAAACCAGTCAAGGGTTCGGACCAGTCAAGGGTTCGGACCAGTCGATCTGATCTGATCAGATCAGGGTCGCTTATTTAAAACATACTGGTCGGTGATTTGGGCTAACACATGAAGGATCTACTGGAAATTATCTACCCGAGTAATATGTGATTTGATTGATACAAGAGTATAACTTGCGTGTTGAAGAAACCGGTGATTTCTGGCAGCTCCTACAATGATGAACGGTCGACCTCCACCCTTGTTTATCAATCGCTGTATCTAGCTTTTCTATTTTTTTTTTTTCCGTCTCCACCACAATAAATGCTATATTATCACTATAGTTGACTGGTGCAAATTTTGGAGGAAGGACGCTTTTTGTGTAGTAATATCTGCTTCTCGTTGTGTATATTGCGACCGCTGGTAACTACAGGTTATATGAAATTCACAGTATATGTCTGGTATTTCAAGAAAAAGAAACTAATGAAAGTCACTCCACTCCACTAAGTACCATTATAATACTGGTTAGTTGCTACTACAACACTGTATTCTGCTATTCACTGGTAACACTAGATTATATGCGAGTACACTAGCAAGCCAGGAAGATTATTAAAAACAGCTGACCTGTGGTACGTTCTGGCGACTTCTGGCACCTGCCTCTATAGGCTTATCACTTCATTTACAAATTCACCTGTTTTCAAATGGCACTTTAGCCTTTATCATCAATATACTAGGGAGCCACTGTAGTATACACTATACACTATGTATACTCAATGTTATCAGGGAGACTTTCTTTCCTCTGACACGACAAGTTCAATTATTATTATTTTTTTCACACGGAACACAGGCCTATGATTCCCCTCTGGCAGTAAACTCTTGCTAGGTAGTGCACACTAATTCTCCTTTTTTGACTCAGTATATAATGTTTTCCACCCAAGATTGGTTCCAGGCGCTAGAGGGATGTATCGTATAGGATTGATGACACAAATTAAAGTTCTAGCACGTAAGAGCGACCGTGAAAACACGAGAAAACCCGGAGCACAACGAGGCACGCTGACACTCTGTCACGAGGTGTGAAGCATGGGTGATCAATGTTGCAGCGAGGAGAAGGCTGGAGGCAGTAGAGATGTCATGTCTGAGGGCAATGTGTGGTGTGAATATAATGCAGAGAATCCGTAGTTTGGAAGTTAGGAGAAGGTGCGGGATTACCAAAACTGTTGTCCAGAGGGCTGAGGAAGGGTTGTTGAGGTGGTTCAGACATGTAGAGAGAATGGAGCAAAACAGAATGACTTCAAGAGTGTATCAGTCTGTAGTGGAAGGAAGGCGGGGTAGGGGTCGGCCTAGGAAAGGTTGGAGGGAGGGGGTAAAGGAGGTTTTGTGTGCGAGGGGCTTGGACTTCCAGCAGGCATGCGTGAGCGTGTTTGATAGGAGTGAATGGAGACAAATGGTTTTTAATACTTGACGTGCTGTTGGAGTGTGAGCAAAGTAACATTTATGAAGGGATTCAGGGAAACCAGCAGGCCGGACTTGAGTCCTGGAGATGGGAAGTACAGTGCCTGCACTCTGAAGGAGGGGTGTTAATGTTGCAGTTTAAAAACTGTAGTGTAAAGCACCCTTCTGGCAAGACAGTGATGGAGTGAATGATGGTGAAAGTTTTTCTTTTTCGGGCCACCCTGCCTTGGTGGGAATCAGCCAGTGTGTTAATAAAAATAATAATATAAAAATAAAAATATTAAAACTAAAACTAGGAAAAGGGACCCACCTGCAAGGATAGTTGAGAGGTGATGGTGAATGGCTCAGCAGGTGTGTGGGTGATGATGGGTGGCTTCCTGGAGGAAGATTGAGATGGCTTCCTCAGGAAGTTGAGGTTGAGGGAGTTGAGGATGCTGTGGGTAAAGCTGATGGCATTCTTCTCGCCCAACTGCTCTTGCTGCTTCATTATACTGCTCATCATTATGAATCCCTGAGAAGAGCAAGCCACAATTAGCACACAGATTCTACTACAAGCAGGCCCCACATATACAGTAGGTTAGGTTCTGGGCTACTGTACAAGAGGGCAATGCTTATACAGTAGGTTAGGTTATGGGTTACAGTACAGGAGGGCAATGCTTATACAGCAGGCTAGGTTCCAGGATACTGCTGTACAGGCAGGCCCCACTTATACAGTAGGTTAGGTACTGGGCTACTGTACAGGAGGGCCCTGCTTGTACAGTTGGCTAGGTTCCGGGCTACTGCTGTGCAAGTGGACCCTGCTTATACAGTAGGTTAGGTTTCCGGCTACTGCTGTACAAAAGGGCCCAGTTTACATAGCAGGTTAGGTTCCGGGCTACTGCTGTACAGTGAATCATAGCCTTTTTCACTTTCGAATGCAGATTAAAGTATGATAACATGTTTACACTAACATATACAGTAAGGCCCCACTTTACGGTGTTTCTCCTTACGGCGTTCTGCTAATACAGTGGACCCCTGCATAACGATTTTAATCCGTGCAAGAGGGGTAATTGTTATGCGAAATAATCGGTATGTGAATGAATTTTCCCCATAAGAAATAATGGAAATCAAATTAATCCGTGCAAGACACCCAAAAGTATGAAAAAAAAAATTTTTTACCACATGAAATATACATTTTCCCACACACAAAGAGAAGGATACATGCACAATAGTAGAGTAGTACATGCACAGTATATATTGTGCATGTACTAGTATACTAAATGAAGAATAAATGACACTTACCTTTATTGAAGATGCAGCAATGACTGATGAGACACTGTGTCCTGGGAGTGCCTTTTCCTCCTGAGTACTGTAGGTCCTGTTTGGCATTTTCTTCCAGAACAGGCCTTATCACACTGTGTATGCCACTACGATTCTTAAATCTCTCAAACCAACCTTTGCTGGCTTTAAATTCACCAATATGAGCACTAGTTCCAGGCATTTTTCCCTGTTCACCTGGGTGTTAGTCGACTTGTGTGGGTTGCATCCTGGGAGACAAGATTAAGGACCCCAATGAAATAAGTTAGACAGTCTTCGATGACACTGACTTTTTGGGTTATCCTGGGTGGCAAATCCTCTGGGGTTAATTGTTTCTTGGTATTCTCAATAAGCCACACCAACAACGGTGCTACAGCAGCAGCAGCAGCTGACGGTGGTACAGCAGCAACAGACGATGCTACAGCAGCAACAGACGATGTTACAGCAGCAGCAGACGATGCTACAGCAGCAGCAGCAGCTGACGGTGGTACAGCAGCAACAGACGACGCTACAGCAGCAACAGACGATGTTACAGCAGCAGCAGACGATGCTACAGCAGCAGCAGCAGCTGACAGTGCAGCAGCAGCTGTACCACCAATAGTAGCGATGGTTGATTGGGGTTTATTATACAACCTGGCCAGCTCGGAGACACGCACTCCACTTTCATACTTATCAATGATCTTTTTCTTCATCTCTATTGTAATTCTCACCCTTATTGCTGAAGGGTTGGCACTAGCTTTCTTGGGGCCCATGGTCACTTATTTTCCAGAAAAAGCACCGAAAACACTGTAATAATACGAAATATTCCGATTGTATGCTTGGATGTTACCGTGGAGGCTGGCTGGTAAACAATGCCACCGGCGGAACATGTGAGCGTGGCTCAGGCCGCACATTGGACGCGTCTCAGACGAAAATCGGTGAGCGGGTTTGTAAGCGGTATGTGAGGCAAAATTTTGGCGATTAAAGCAAGCAGTATGCGCATTAATCGCTATGTGATGCCATCGGTATGCGGGGGTCCACTGTACAGCGATGTCAAATTATGACCAAAATTTGCTATACGGCAAGCGGTCTTTTAAATACAGCGCCCCCACCCGGTTTGTTTACATTTTCCGTGACCACATCTATTATGTCAGGAAACTTTCAAAATTTCAAGTGTTTTAAAGTTACTGCGTATTTTATATGTACTCTGATAATTATACTTATGTGTACTTGTACCTAAATATACTTACACACTGTGCTGGTGTGCAGGTACACATTAAAATCGCTAAGTCTCTCTCTACTCATGATGCCAATACTACGTAATAATAATCACTCTTGGGCACACTAAATGTCTTATTTTACATCAATATAGGCATTTTCATTAATCCATCTACGATATTTTCCTCAAAATTATATATGAAACCCATTACATACCATATAAACATGATACATACACTCAGAATAAAAATTGATGAAAATATGAGATTTGTTTCAAAGCAGCTGTTAGGTGGTGTGGGAAGTTTACTTTTCTCTAGTCAAACATTTGGGGGGAAACTGTAGAAAAATATTCTTTTGTATGCCTTTACTCTATTATAGAAATTCACGCCCTTGGGTTTTTAGTGCTTTTTTAAAAAAAAATAAAATTATATTATTATTATTATTAAAATAATATTACTATTATTTTTAAAAATATTAATATTATTATTTTTATTTTTTATTTTTCATTCACTCTAAAAATGGTGTTTTTGCTGTTGTTTATTCTAATAAATTCCCAACTTGTCCAATGTAAGAGTACATTTGTATTGTATGAAAATTTTTTTTAAAAAAAAAAAATATTGGGGTAAATTTTTTGCAAACTCTTACAAATGGACGGAATGAATAAAAGTAGACCATATTAATACGAATTTATTTCGCCTGCCCCAAGTGATCGTCCACTACCTGTTCAGTTTGTGTTCTTACATTGTCTCAAACTATCCGTTCTCTCTCCCGTTCCTCTTTCTTTAACTAGTTGGCTCTCTTTGACGATGGCGTCAAAGGTTACTGTAAAAAAAAGAAAGTCATAGTCCTTCTTTAAGTGCCAATTTAGAGGAGATGGGTCCCATTCGTTTTTTATTCAAAAAACACCCTGCCACTCCCCTCTCACTTTTAAATATTAATTTTTTAAGGGAATAAAAGTGACTTTTGGGTATTTACCTTTTTATTGTTTTTTTAATGCCTATTTTCTATTGCTAACTTAAAAAAATTATGTAAACTTTTTGTTGGATTTATTGTATTTATATGCTCTGATAATAATATTGGGACCTTTGTGGTACCCGGGGGGGAGGGACAAAAATTACATTTTCTTGCCACCATCGGAGAAAACGTGTATGAAACTGCGTTGCCCAGCCACCCCCCACTCTGCTTTTGTTTCATTTTTTACAGGGTTATTCATACTTCTACCTTCGTTTTTTGATGGGATTAAAAGGGAGTTTTAGAAATGATTAAAATTTTTAGGAACAAAGCATGTTATGTTAAAATATGGGTCGGGCCCTGTAGGTAGCCGTAGGGGTACCCCGGGGTACACCCACCGGCACCTACACTGACTTTGTACAAATAAATACACCACCTCTCTTCCTATATTAAGACTACACTATTTTAAGGTAAATAAAGGTGTACTGTATGGCATTTTACCCCCTTGGATGTTTTAAATACTTGGACCCCTGGTTTACGATAATTTCATTCCCAAAAAAAATGTTCAGGGGCCAGTCTGACCGGGAAATTTTTTCCCCTAAGGGAAAATTGTGAATTAGATTAGTCCATTTTTAGGGCCCCCCCAAAAATACACATACAAACGCATTTGATAAATAACTTAATAATTGGCGCATTGGGAGTGATTGTAAAGCGGGGGGGCCCTGTACGATATTAAGTATGAGACAGGGAGCCATGCTACCTACACCGGGCTACCTGCAAACCCGACTTCCTACAAAAAAGTAAATCCACCCCCTCCCTACTTAAGATTACAAATACTTTTTAAAATAAGTACAGTGGACCCCCCATAACCCACGCACCATAACGTTCAATCCCCATACCCTCGCTTTTATGCAAAAATTTTTCCCCGCATACCCCTCAAAAACCCGCTCAAACCCCCTCTTCGTCTGAGACGCGTCCAAGTGCGCCCTTAGCCAGCCTCACCTGGCTGCTTGTGGATTGTTTACCAGCCAGCCCCCGCGGGGAACATCCAAACATACAATCGAACAATTCGTATTATTACAGTGTTTTTTTTTGGGGATTTTATTGAAAAATAAGTGACCATGGGGGCCCCCAAGAAAGCTTCTAGTGCCAACCCTACAGCAATAAGGGTGAGAATTACTATAGAGATGAAGAAAAAGATCATTGATAAGTATGAAAGTGGAGTGCGTGTCTCCGAGCTGGCCAGGTTGTATAATAAACCCCAATCAACCATCGCTACTATTGGTGGTACAGCTGCTGCTGCTGCTGTACCACCGTCAGCTGCTGCTGCTGCTGCTGCTGCACTGTCAGCTGCTGCTGCTGCTGTACCACCGTCAGCTGCTGCTGCTGCTGCTGCTGCTGCTGCTGCTGCTGCACTGTCAGCTGCTGCTGTACCACCGTCAGCTGCTGCTGTAGTACCATCTGCTGCTGCTGTAGCATCGTCTGCTGCTGCTGTAGCACTGTCAGTTGCTGCTGCTGCTGTAGCACCGTTGTTGGTGTGGCTTATTGAGAATACCAAGAAACAATTAACCCCAGAGGATTTGCCACCCAGGATAACCCAAAAAAGTCAGTGTCATCGAAGACTGTCTAACTTATTTCCATTGGGGTCCTTAATCTTGTCTCCCAGGATGCAACCCACACCAGTCGACTAACACCCAGGTGAACAGGGAAAAATGCCTGGAACTAGTGCTCATATTGGTGAATTTAAAGCCAGCATAGGTTGGTTTGAGAGATTTAAGAATCGTAGTGGCATACACAGTGTGATAAGGCCTGTTCTGGAAGAAAATGCCAAACAGGACCTACAGTACTCAGGAGGAAAAGGCACTCCCAGGACACAGTGTCTCATCAGTCATTGCTGCATCTTCAATAAAGGTAAGTGTCATTTATTCTTCATTTAGTAGAGTAGTACATGCACAATATATATTGTGCATGTACTACTCTACTATTGCGCATTTATCCTTCTCTTTGTGTGTAGGAAAATGTATATTTCATGTGGTAAAAAAAAATTTTTCATACTTTTGGGTGTCTTGCACGGATTAATTTGATTTCCATTATTTCTTATGGGGAAAATTCATTCGCATACCAATCATTTCGCATAACAATGAGCCCTCTTGCACGGATTAAGTCGCTATGCGGGGGTCCACTGTAATGAATTTATTGTGACTGTATTTTACTTTGTGTGTTTTTAATGCTTAGTTCTATTACTAACTTAATATAATTTAGTGTAAACTTGTTGTCTGGCATTTATATGCATTTATAAATGGAAAAAAATGGAGTTCTGCTTCCGGCGATGTCTGCTTTCTGGCGACAGCCTGGAACCTAACCCGCCGTATGAGTGGGGCCCTACTGTATTTAGTAAGTAAATATTCTTTCTTTCTTTCAACACACCGGCCATATCCCACCGAGGCGGGGTGGCCCAAAAGGAAAAAGGAAAGTTCCTCCTTTAACATTTAGTATTATATACAGGAGAAGAGGTTACTAGCTCCTTGCTCCCGGCATTTTAGTCGCCTCCTACAACATGCATGGCTTACGGAGGAAGAATTCTGTTCCACTTCCCCATGGAGGTAAGATAAAATAAACAAGAACAAGAACTAGTAAGAAAATAGAAGAAAACCCAGAGGGGCGTGTATATATATATGCTTGTACATGTATGTGTAGTGTGACCTAAGTGTAAGTAGAAGTAGCAAGACATACCTGAGACCTTGCATGTTTATGAGACAGAAAAAAGGACACCATCAATCCTACCATCATGTAAAACAATTACAGGCTTCCCTTTTACACTCACTTGGTAGGACATCAGTACCTCTCTGGGCAGTTGCTGTCTACCAACTACTACCTAGAACTCTCCTTATAAATGGCCCAAATAAAGAGTGGATACTAAGAGTGCTCACCTCTGATGGGTGTGGTGCTGAGGGTTGAGGAACCAGAGTTACCAGAGGAAGATGCTCTTCTTCCATCAGTCCACAGAAACATGAACCCTCTATGAAGGAATTGGGCATTTTCACATACCTGGAATAATTATATGTAATTAATATCATGAATGCATACTTGATTTTGACACCATGATGTTATCACAGAAGGATACTGAACAGACATGATGTTGCCACAATGGATATTGTAGAATCATATTGGGATACTATAAGAAGAAAAAGAACAATATGGAGTGGTAACAGTAGGTGCCTCATAAGCACTAAATAGTTGACTATTGGGTCTCATCACCAGAAATAGTAGATAAATTAGACACATGTGCAACTCTTGGGTATCTTTATTGAGGAAACGTTTCGCCACACAGTTGCACGTGTCTAATTTATCAACATGTCGGTTCTCTGAACCATTCATCTACAAACCTGTCAGACACTGCAACTTCTTGGGATCTTAATACTTGGGAATTCTTCGCTTGCCAAATTCTTGGGCATGACCTACTTCCACATTGAACAAATGTGACACCACCTATGACTGCTGCACCTCTCCTGCCTTCGGTTTATAAGCTCCTTCTCTGCAAGTATGCCGTATTCTATTCAAGATTGATGGACTGACCACATCGACTCAAGGTTGATTACCTCATTCTCCTGTTCTTCAAGATTCTCCTTTGTATGGACTGATGAAGCCACTGTGTGGCAAAACGTTTCCTCAATAAAGATACCCAAGAGTTGCACATGTGTCTAATTTATCAACATGTCGGTTCTCTGAACCATTCATCTACAAACCAGAAATAGTAGGCTGTTACTGGGTGTTATTGGGTTTAAAGGATCTTTACTTCAGCATGATGCTTAGTGACACTGTTAACACTGAGCTACTAAATATATCTACGTGGATAATGACCAATAAGCTCACTCTCAATATAGACAAAAACCTACTTCATGCTGTTTGGAAACAGAGCTTTAAGTATCCAACTAACATACTGATACATGGTTCCCCATTACAAGACACACTGAAAGCAAATTTTTATATTTTTACCTTGATTACAACATTAAATTTCAGACCCACATCCAATATGTATAGCCAAGAAGATCTCCAAAACAGTGACACCCTTTCTAAGATACGGTACTATGTACCCCAAATGGTACTGCTTACACTATACCACTCTCTAATCTGCCCTAACCTCAGCTATGGTAACTGTGCCTGGAGATCTGCTATGACTAATCACCTTAAGCCATTAATAACCCAACAAAAAGCAGCAGTGTGGATCACCAATTCCTGTGCCAGACACACCCCACCACTCTTCAAGAGTTTGAACTTACTTAATATACAAAATATGCACTCATATTATTGTGTCTACTATATATAATATATACATAGAACATTAAACTCCATTATAAACCCCTCCTCTCAAACTTCTCCTTGATAACTACAAGAGAACACACACAGCACATAAGGCACAAAACATTCTTCGACATCCCTCGTGCCCGTTTCACACTATGCAAAAATGCAATGTATATAAAGGGCCCTAAGATCTGAAATTCATTACCTGAACCAGCTTTAATGTACTCAAATGAGCACATTAAAGCTAGAACATTCCCCTGAACTAATCTGCTTGGATGTCCTACTCATTTCCGCAACATTCTGCTGTTCTCTCTCAGACCATCTTTACTCCAACTGAAATGCAAGAACCCCAGTGGAGGCAAGTCACTTTGACTTTTTTTTTGTGGGGGGTTATCCTAGTGGGTAATCTATACATACGTTACTATGATAATTTGCGTAACTGTATTTATGTATACCCACCTTGAGGTGGACACAAACACACACCAAGGAAACAACACATGGAGGGTGAAGGTTGGCTATGAATTTCACATTAGACAAAGAGCCTCAGAACGCAACCATTGACATTACAAACCATGCAAGTTTATTTAGGTACAGGAACACAAAAGTGCAATTATCATACATAGTGTAAATTACTCAGGATAACTATGAAGATTAAGAGACATGTGCAGCAGTTGGGTATTTTTACTGATGAAACGTTTTGCCTACACAGTAGGCTTCTTCAGTCAAATACAAAGGGAGCAGTAGAAATGAAATAAAGATGACGTAATCAGTCCATCAACCTTGTGGAAAAAATATGAGGTGGTCAGTCCCTCAGCCTGGAGAAGAGTTCAGCTCCATGGTCTGGAACGATATAAAGCTGAAGCACGAGAACGGCTAGCTGGAAGACCTCCAAAACGTTGTAAGGGACGGGATTCCAAATGGACCTGCCTTCTTTCACTAGTGGATCCAGTTCTTTACAACATCTTCGAGATCTTCCAACTCATTGTTCTCGTGCTTCAGCTTCATATTGTTCCAGACCACTGAGCTGAACTCTTCTCCAGGTTGAGAGACTGACCACCTTAAATAATTTTTCTCCAAGGTTGACGGACTGATTACATCATATTTATTTCACTACTGCTGTATTTGACTGAAGAAACCTACTGTGTAGATGAAACGTTTCAACAATAACTGCTGCACATGTGTCTTAATCACCAACTAGTCGTTATTTTATACCATTATCAACAATGATAATTGCACTTGTGTGTACCTGTGCCTTAATAAACTTGATTACTTATGCAGCAGTGGGATATAAATGTATGTACAAGGGTGACAAAAGTATTTTACACTTTCTGTTATTTATGCAGTGCAAAGTTATCATGACTTCTGTTATTGTTCTGTTCCCGTTTGCCTAGCAGTAAGAAGGTACCTGTGTGTTAGTCGACTGGTGTGGGTGGCATCCTGGGGGCCAACATTGAAGAAAAAGAATGGAAATAAAGTCCTCGATGACACACTGACTTTCTTGGGTTATCCTGGATGGCTAACTCCCTACACCTGGTTATACTGGGTGGCTAACACTCCCTACACCTGGTTATACTGGGTGGCTAACACTCCCTACACCTGGTTATACTGGGTAGATAACACTAACTACACCTGGTTATACTGGGTGGCTAACACTCCTTACACCTGGTTATACTGGCTGGCTAACACTCCCTACACCTGGTTATACTGGGTGGCTAACACTCCCTACACCTGGTTATACTGGGTGGCTAACACTCCCTACACCTGGTTATACTGGGTAGATAACACTAACTACACCTGGTTATACTGGGTGGCTAACACTCCTTACACCTGGTTATACTGGCTGGCTAACACTCCCTACACCTGGTTATACTGGGTGGCTAACATTCCCTACACCTGGTTATTTTGGGTGGCTAACACTCCCTACACCTGGTTATACTGGGTGGTTAACATTCCCTACACCTGGTTATACTGGGTGGCTAACACTCCCTACACCTGGTTATACTGAGTGGCTAACATTCATTACACCTGGTTATACTGGATGGCTAACACTCCCTACACCTGGTTATACTGGGTGGCTAACACTAACTACACCTGGTTATACTGGGTGGCTAACACTCCCTACACCTGGTTATACTGGGTGCCTAACACTCCCTACACCTGGTTATACTGGGTGGCTAATACTCCCTACATGTGGTTATACTGGGTGGCTAACACTCCCTACACCTGGTTATACTGGGTGGCTAACACTCCCAACACATGGTTATACTAAGTGGCTAACACTCCCTACACCTGGTTATCCTGGCTGGCTAACACTCCCTACCCCAGGTTATCCTGGCTGGCTAACACTCCCTACCCTGGGTTATCCTGGCTGGCTAACACTACCTACCCAGTTATCTGGCAGCT